AATTGAGGCCATTTACATTAATGGTTATAAGTGATATATTTTGGCTTATTTTTGTCATGTTATCTTTCTGCTGTTTGTTCTTTATCTTTCCACTCTGTTCATTTGCCTTGATTAATGTTTTTTTTTTTTCTGTTGGTGTTCTTAAAGCCGTAGTTATTTTTATGTCTACCTATAATATCTTTTAGTATTTTATGTAGGGTCGGTTTGGTGGTCATGAAGTTCTTCAGCTGTTCTTTGTAATGGAAGTATCTTATTTCTCCATCAATCTTGAAGGACAGTTTTGAAGGGTACATCAATCTGGGTTGGAAGTCTTTTTCCTTTAGCATTTGAAATACTTTGCTCCATGTTTTCTTGACTTTATTGTTTGTGTTGAGAAATCTGCTGTGATTCTGATGGGCTTTCCTTTATAGGTGATCTGTCTCTTCTCTTTAGCAGCTTTTAATAATACATTCTTATGTTGAATTTCTAGGATGTTGATTATTATATGTATAGGTGTAGATTTGTTTTGGTTATGGCTAATTGGAGTTCAATATGCTTCACTTCCATTCCCATGTTTGGGAAATTTTCAACTATTACCTCTGTATATAGTCTTTTGATATTGTTTGCATTGTCACATTTTTTTTGTTTACACCTATTAATCTTATATTGTCTTTCTTTGCATCATTTTGCAACTGTTGAATTATTTCCTGATTCCTTATTATTTTTAAAAGGTCTTTCCTCTTCACTAGCTGCAATCTTGTCTTCAAGATCTGAAAGTCTATCTTCATTCTCACTGAGGCAGTTTTGCTAGATTTTGATGGAAATTTTGATTTCCTGGATATCTCTTTGAATCTGTTTCATGTATTCTGATTTTTTCTTTTTCTTTTTTGTTTGGTACCAGGGATTGAACTTATGATCTTGTGCTTGCCAGAAAGGCACTCACACCACTGAGCTAAATCTCTGGCCCCCACTGGTTTTTATCTTATTGTTCATTCAAGTTCTTCATTTTTTTTTGCAGTGTTCCTCGATTTTTTTAAACTATGTCTTCTTTAGATGTATTGAGCATTTCTTTTATTTCATTTGTCATTTCTTCTTTTATCTGGGAGATTATTTCTGATGAGTTTCTTTACAGCTTCATGGAGTTGTTTCTTTACTTCAGTTGATGTCATTTCAAATGTTTCAGGTATATGGCTTACATTTTCTTCTATATTTATGTCTCTTAGGCTTGTTTGGAATGGGATGGAGGTCTGAGATTTCATTTTGCTCTTTCATTTTGTCATTTTTCTGTTTTCCCCTGGAGAAGCTGTATGCAAGATCTCAGTTTCTTTGTGTGTTGAGAATATCTGTCTGTACTGCAGAGAATTTCCCCAATTGAGTGGAGGTTGTTAGTCAGGTCTTACCAGGCCCCTGAAATGTGAGGAGTATGCTGAGTGGGCCTTTAGCATCAACAGGGTACTGTGAAGGTCCCTGGCTGCTATTCTGAGTCACATAGCAAGGCTGAACATCTAGATGGAGTATGCTACACAGGCCTTCAGCTCATGCTACATGGCATACTAAACTCTGAAGCTGCTTGGGGTCACTGGGTGGGGCCTACCAGGTTCTATGTGAGGTTCTGAGGTTGCATGGCTGAATGGGATTCACTGTGTGCAATTTTGGCTTGTACCACCAAGCTCAGGCAATTCCTTGGCCACTTGGAGTCGCTGGGTGGGGCCCAACCAAACCCAAAGGTTCATGGTGGATTGGGGATGCTGGGTGGAGTCTTACCAAGGTCCAAGTGAGGTACCAAGGTTGTAGGGCTGGGGTTCACTCTGCATGCCTTTGGCTTGTGTCCTCAAAATATGTTTCTTCAATACATTTGACATTTATTTCCACAGGACCAGTATAAACATTTTTGTATAGATATTCAGCATGGTAGAAATGGATTTATTTTAATTCCTCAAGATTAGCTAGAACTGTACTCCCCAATATTGAACTTTTTTGCCCTTACCTTGAGTCTGGTTTCTTATCTCCTTTTGCACTTTTTTTGTGGAGGTGTCACCTGGGTCCCTCACATATGTCCTTTAGCTAGTCATTCTATTCTGTTGCTCCAGGCTTCTCAAGAGGACCCTTCCCATTGCGAGAATAGCTTTTTCAGTCTTTGGGAAATTTCTTCTTTTTGAAACAGATCCCTGTCTTAAATACAGAGAGAAAACTTAAGCATAGAGAACACTAAGCTGGAATGTTCAACATCTTTGTTTAACCACAATGGGATTACAATGTAAGAAAAGCCAAAATTTGTGAGTCTTCTTGCTCATGTCTCTCCTGTGAGAGGTCCTGCAAACCTCTGACAACTTGCAGTTGTCTACATATTTGGCTCTGCCCTCAGTATTGGATCAGGCTCTGTGCATACCCCCAACCATGACAGATTAGATTTGGGTGGATGGTGATTTTCCTGCCTCTGCCCAGCATAATTTCTCCCCAGGATGATTGACAGGGGAAGCTGTGCCCTTTGTGCAGACAGCTTCTTCACACACAGCTCATTTCTGGTTTTCCTTCTATGTGTCAGGCTGCCCCTCCTTATCTTCCTCACATGGCTCCAACCTGACCACATCAGTGGACTTCCCAAGACAGTCTGAGGCCCAGCTCTTTTCTTGCTTCCTATTTTTTGCGAGTGGCTTTATCCCAGGCTGTCTATGATTTACCGCTTGAAATTCCTAAATATTTTATGTCTATTTATCTGCTCCAAACCCCTCCTCTGACTTCCAGACCTTTATTTTCATCTTCTTTGCTATCTCACCGTTGAAATAGTTCATGTTCAAGATTTGAACTTGAGATTTCCTCCTTTCTAAAAGTGGTATTCCCTTAGCATTCCCTTAGTCAGTATAGCACAACCTGCCGCCACTTATCAAACAAGAGCCCAGCAATCATTCTTGACCCTGGCTGCCCTTCACTTCTCTGTCTCTACCTTCTGGGTTTTATGCAGCGGGTAGTGTCTGTGAGTAGCCCACTTTTCTACTGCAGCCGCCACTGTATGACTCTGATCCCTGTAGCACTGTGACAGCTACCCCACTGGTCTCTGCAGCCCCTTTGCTTTCCACATTGAGCTCCTCCTCCTTCAAAATTCATATCCTATGAGAATTCTTAAAATCTTGCCAAGCTTCTGATCCCCACAGTGCAGAGGGCTTGAGGAGAATCCTTGCCTGCCTCTCTGGGGGCCTCTCAGTCGTTCTCCAGCTGTTCTCGTCACTCTGGCACACTGGCTTCTCCATTTACCCAGTACATGCACTATAGCATTTCACACGTGCTCATCCCTCTTCCACCCCCCTCTGGCTGCCTCTACCACTTCACTTCTGCCTCTTCCTCAGAGATGCCTTCTCCTGAGTGTTCAACCCTTGCTACAAGGTTGACAAATCAAAAATCGTTTTTCTCTGGACACTTATCTCACTTTTCACATTTGTATTAATGCCAGTATTTTTTTAAAGTCCATCTCCTCAGAAGAGTCTTCAGTCCATGAGAGGAGGGAAGGGTGTGTGTGGCTTTGCTCACTATTTTCCCCTGGCACCCAGCCGAGTGCCATGTACACAGAGGGTGCTAATAAACATTAAATGAACCAGTAAGGATCACTGTCATAAGACCCTGACTTAGCAGTATATTAGCAGCTTAGCAGGATATGTCCATACTTCGTTACTTACGAGGCAGTAAATTAAGGCTCAGGTGTGAGTGAGGTTGCACATGACTAGGGCATTGCAAGACTTGATCCCAGCCAGTGGCTCTCGAAGTTATTTCTGCAGCCCAATCCCACCTGGTCTGCGACATTGATGAGGATATACTTTAAAAAGTGATCTTGCTTCTTCTGTAAGAACATAATTTTGAGAGACACACTAGTCCACGTTGATATTTTAAAAAGAAGAATATTTACCATGTCCTCGAGGGTACATTCCCACTAAAGGCATAGTCAGTTTAGGTAACTTTTCAGAAAAATTAGTATCTACATCTTTAGGCAAATAGCTTTTCCCTAGGTTGTTAGAAAAACTCAAAAGACAAAGTAATTTCTCTCAAAACACAGAAATTTCAAAGGTGAACTAATACTCTTAAGAAATTCCTAGCAGCTTCTAAATAACACAATTTTCACCTTAAAAAACCCAAGAATTGTGGGTTTTTCTGTTTATAAGACAAAATAGAAACTCATTTTCACTGAACATTGACATACAAAGAGATTAACCTTTCTGTACCACAATGATTATGCCTTTATGTATAAAACACAGGCTTTACACTTGCCTGCACTGTTTTGCTTACCAAAAGACTCATTCCAAGAATGCTTAACATAGATTACAACAACACAAAAAATTTAGAAATCAGCATAAAATAATAAATCAAAAGTTCAAAGGAGAAATAAGAGTAGGAACAGAAAACATATAGGAATGAGGTCAATTTATAAATGCCTTTTGTAAGGGCAAATATACTGCCCAGCAACCACAACTGGCTGTTTTCCCGTGGTCTTTGGGCTCTTTTACCTTCTGCTGAGTCCTGGTTTGTTCCCTGATAAAGGGCCCTGTGCTTAGGCCCAGAGGGATGAACCATGGTGGATCTAGGGGATTCCTGCCTGGCATGCCTTCTCATAATGTTCTCATTATTTGAGAGTTTTAGCGAAATCTCTTACAAGACAGTAACTTCTCACTCATACGCTGTCTTAGTTATTTTCTTGTTGCTGAGACAAAATACGTGACACCCAGAGTTAAAGGAAAAAAGGTTTATTTCAGCTCACAGTTTGAAGCGGTTTCAATCCATAGTCAGCTAACCCCAAATCAGGCGGCATGGCAGAGGGGGCATGGCAGAGGGGAAGCAGTTTAAGGTGGGCAGACAGGAGGCAGCTCAGCAAGCTTTCCTTTCTCTTTTATCCCATAAGTGCTCCACCCACACCTTGTATCGGGGTTCTATTATCCACACTCATATCTATGCCAACACGATTTAATTATCACACATCTTTAATCTCAGTATCACATCCTAGATCCAGCCACCTCCCAAAAGTCTCACTTATAGGCTTTGGGGGGACACCTAGTTACATCATACTTTTTTTTTTTTTTTTTTTGTCTTTTTCTTTTTTATGGGTACCAGGGATCGAACTCACGACCACACACTTGCAAGGCACTGAGCTAAATTCCCAGCCCCCTTTTTTTTTTTGTCTTTTTGAGACAAAGTCTCACTATGTACTTGGGAGGCTGAGGCAGGGAGATTGTTGGGAGTTTGAGACCAACTGTGTTACAAAGTGAGATCAAGGCCAACCTGAACTTCGTAGGGAGATTCTGTCTCAAAAAGACAAAACAAAAAACAAAATATTCCAACTGAAAACACTGATAATAGACATTATAATCAAAACTCCAAGCCAAATTGGCTTCCTCTTTTGGCATAATTTTTTTATCCACCTTGAAGTTTTATTTTCTACATGTTCCTTAAGTTAAAGCATTTTTGAGCCAAATGAAAATGCACTGGGTAATATAGAAAATAAATACAGAAGAGTTGTTCTTTGGAAACTGACCTTTGGTTTCCAAATTTCAGTGCCCTAAATCTATGAGTTGGCAGACCAGTGGAGGGGTAGGAGAGAGCACTGGTAGCAGAAAGGTCTAGCGATTCCCACATAGGTCTTTTAGAAAGAATATACGTGTAGTCTTTGTATCTCTTCAGAGAACACAGGCATTTAACAGAACCAGCGAACTCACATTCTTAAAAGAATTATTTTCCCTGTTGAACAATGACTTAAGAAATTTTATTTTTATATGGAATCTTCTTTGATGCCAGAATCAGACTTCTGTCTCAGTTTATATTTGTTGATAATATTTATATCTAGTTTATGAAGAAGAAGAAAAGAAAGACAGCACTGAGGAGAAGAGTATTTCCTTCCGCCTGCTCGCCTTGACTACTGAAGCCCCCACGCCAAATGCTCTAGCTGCTGCCTCCCCAGGAATAGTCCCTGCTTGAAGCCAGAGGAAGCCCGTTTACTATGTGGATGGCAGGAACTTGCTAATGTGGGCGTGTGAAATGTATGCTGGGAAAAGAATGCCACCCATCCCAGGAAGTCTTCGAGAAGGCTTGGGTTCTTGCCATGACTAAAATCTGGTGATGCTTTATGGATAACTTGATTCCCACATGGAAGCGAGCTGCCCATTTCCATAATCCTCATGGAGAATCAAACCAAGAAAAGACTAATTTGGAAATAATACGCAGAGGAGAGACTTCATTTTTTTTTTTTTTTTTTCTTTTGAATAAAACGAAGGAGCCAGTTTAGGTGACTACAGAGGAGAAATCAAGAGGACCCTGGGCAAGGGTCTGGGCTTCTCCCACAACACGAACTGCAGCCTGCATGACAGGGAGGAAAAGTGTAAAAGATGCTAGCAGGGGTTTTTGGTGGGCTCAGGAGAGGGAATGTAGAGATTAAATATCTTCCTCCTGCACAAGACTCTTGAAACCCAACATTTCTAACACTTGGGACCTCATTGTAAGTGCTGGTTTTCTCTTAGAAAAAGGGAGAAGTTCCATTCCAGTTGATGGTGGCCTCTCTCCACTTGGTTCTGATGGCCATCTCCACTGGGGAGCAGCGTCTTCCTGACCCATGTTTATCTTGCTGTTGATCCTTTTCCCAAGGATGAGCATGCGTATCTGAGGAAGGAACATGAGATGGTTACACCTGAGCCTGGTGCGTCATTCTCGAGGAAGCCATTCCAGGAGAAAAGCACTGGTGGGCAGGAGTTGAGCTCTGCAAACTGTAATCCTAGAACTGGTGAAGTGGAGGAGATCCCAGAAGATGCTGTGCGGAAGTGACCCATATACAAGGAGTCAGTGACAACCTGGCTTGCTTGTGCTGAGATGTGAATTCTGATAAATCATCTAATGTACCTTACATACCACGGAGAACCAGGTGTTGTCATGAAAAATAAGGATGGGGAAAGCTCCCACTTCTCCAGGCTTCTAAGAATACATTTGCATTTTTAAGTGCAGTACGAGACATTCTAGTGGGATAATTGAGCACAGGGCTCAAGGCCCAAGTTTGCCTCATGTGAGCCAGGTGGTATTTGAGAAGGTACTTAACAGCTACGCTTAGCACCTACTGTTAAATCTTATTTATTCAACTGGCACCTATTTATTGGGAATGCCAGTTTTTCATTGTGTAAAAGTAGACAGCACAGTACCTACTATGATATTGAGAATTTTTTGTGCTAATGTGCATAAGACTTTCCACACAGTGCCTAACACCGAGCATGTGGGAGGCGTAGTGAGCAAATAAAAAATAATAAAAAAGGATGCGTTCCTCAAGGAGCAAGGTTGATTGTACTAACGTTGGTAATACACTGAATTAAATGGGTTAATATATATTTCTTATAATTGAAAAAATTTAGGTGCTTCACACATAAAATAGTCACTAAGATACTTTTCTAAATGCAGTTTTAATAGCACACGTTATGTAACACCAGGCGTGTGATGCTAAGTGCAGAGTTAGACAGTAGATAACCAGGCTCCTTCACGGAACCATTGCTAACCTGGTATAAATCACCAGTCCAATACCACTTTTAATGCCTCGCCAAAGGGACCAGTGTTTGAAGGCTTCTCGATGTTGGTTTTTATTTCCCCTTGTGAGTTTCAAAACTGTGATTTTTAACTGAAATGAAATGTACTGCTTGCTGGCTGTCTGCTTCTGCCATTGGCCTGGTACCTCCTAAGGATTTGCTTGCACTGTGTCTTATTCACTGTGGTTTTCCCAGTGTTTTAGCCCATTGTAGCTAATTTAAAAATGCTTGTAAAACTAACTGAGAAGAAATGGGTACTTTCATCATGAGATGATAGTCTGGTGTTTGGTTTGGAAACTGGCACATTGGAACTCTGTCCCCCCCACTTTTTTGCATATCTTTCCCTAGGAATTGTTTACACAAAAGGCCTCAGAAAGGCTTTTTGGAAATTAGACTTTTCACTCTTTGTTTTCTCTGCCTAAAAGTTACTTGTTTCTCTGTTATATTTAATCCACATCCTCCTCCTTTTGAAAGCAGTTTTAGGGTTCTCACATTACAATAACTGGGTTTAGAGCCAAGGGAGCCATGGGATTTCATTCTCTGCAGAAACCAAGCCCAAGCACTTTCCTGCAGAGCTGGCCTGACTACCCAGCTGGTAACGGTGGTGGTGAGTCTCTGGGCACACTGAGGCACGCACTCTTGGAGGCTGAAGTGCTCACCCACTGTAAGACGCACTGGCTTTTTCTGTGAGGGTTGGCTACTGTAAAAGTACAGATCAAAGAGACGCTCTGTTTTCCAGTCTGACAAAAGCTGTCTGTTTGTGCAAAAAAGGATGCTGTAATTTCCACTGATATTGCACAGCCAGATAGGAAATTTAGGAGTCTTCAGCATGCTGCCCACCTGCAAGGGAAGAAGGAAATACAGAGAAGCATACAGATTTTGTCTTCTTGCAACAGAGGCTGTTGTGTCATTGTGATCAAAAAGCACCTCTGAGGCTTCTTATTGCCTGTATATCTGTGTGGGGATCAGATTGAGGGTAAGATTTTAAACCAAGACCTCATTATAAATGAATTTGTGTTTATGAATGGTGTGGTATAGCGATGACACTGTATTTTCTGTCCTAATGGATTGTTTTTTAATTTTTTGTTTTTAAATCAGTGACTTCATGGAAGGGGTAGAGAATTCTGTCCGGTTTTAAACTGAAGTCATAAGCACACTGAAAACGTGGCAATGAAATAATTCATCTTTGCCGTCAAGTAGTGTATTTGCGCCTATTTCCAAGATAGAGCAATATTTCACTTAGCATGTGGTCAAAGGGGCACCAGTACATGTTCAAACTATAGGAAAAAAAGATATTTAGAATTTAGGAAATAGTTTTTGGGAAATGAGAGGAATAAACACACACACACATATACAAGTTACCAGATAGCTGTGAAGGTGTACTTGGAGCGTACTAGCTAATATTACATGCAATATCAAGTTTAGTATTTTAATCAGCTTGTCTATTTTTTCCTGCCAACTGTCACTTCATCCTTGAATTCTCATAGTAAATAAGATTCACAAAGCTACTACTCTGGAGGGCCAGGGAATAGCAGGGCAGTGATCTTGCATCAGGAACCTTTGGAGGTATCATGATAATGAGGTACATTCCTTCACTTATTGCTTCCTTTGAACTTTTTTTGAGATGGGGGTCTCCCTGTGTTGTTCAGGCAGCCTCAGAGTCATGATCTTCCTGCCTTAGTCTCTCTCATAGCAGGTTTCAAGACTGTGCTTGACATTGTAATGCATTTCTATAACTGGCGTCTATCATTTTGTTTAAAAAGGCAGGAAAACACATTTTTTAAAAAAAGATTTCACAATTCATTAAAAAAATTTCTTTTGTGCTCAAAGACATAAACACATAGTGTATAGAAATTCTATGATTTCTCCACGATACCAAAAACTGCTTCTGGATCCTTTGGCTTGAAATTTCTTCCTATCATGGAAAGACATAACATTGCTATTTTGTTTCTTTTCTTCTCAGTCCTTCAAGTTGTACTGTTTGTTCAGGAACAAATCCTGTTTCCTGAAAAATCCAGCTTTGAAAAATTATCACATGCTTTGCAAACCCAAGTGTTAAAGGTTAGTAACTCAACATTTTGGTTTTTCAATAATTCTACTCGATTCTCTTCTTTTTCTTCAGTTATGGTGAGTGGGTGATCAGAAGTGCTTCTGTCTTTAGCTCCATAGACAAATTATATACAGTGTTTCAAAGAAATGATTTATCTTCACCTTTTGAAAAGGTGCGAGCCCAGCACCCAAGTTAAGACTCATTTCCAGTGAGTATGCATGTACTTAGACTAGAATAACAGGAGCATTTATCAAACATGGGTCAAGTCTGCTTGCTAGCTGCATATGAGGCAAAACAGGATGCACCACTGAAACAGCCAACATGTTGAAGTCTCAAACAAGTTGTAAACAACATTATAACCAATCATTAGCACAAGCCCCTTCTCACGTCTTCTCTTGCTGGCGCTTCCTGTACTAAGATTATATGTAACTGAAATACAATAAGCTGGACCTGGGATTATTAAGGTTGGAAAACTTGCTTAAACTAAGCAGGAGACTGATGGCTGTTTGTAACAAGGTGTCATTTCATCTGAATTTCAGGGGAATATTCTGGCCAATTTTTAATTAATGAATGTTCTTATAAATTAAATCTAGATAAATATATAAAATAGTGTTTCACAGGATATTTGTAAAGGAGGCAAAATTCAACTGACACTCAGAGTCACACATTCTGAGGGGTTGATACCACACTATTGTTACGTTACATAGTAATGCAACAGTTGTCTTATTGAACTCAAAGCAAGTGGAAGGAAAGTGAAGTACCCGAAACACACCCACCTCTGACCCTCAGCAGATCTCACTATGACCTGATGGAGTGTCCTAGTCTTGAGAGATTGTAATTCAAAGGGACATGTCATGCATGACTGTCATGGCACTTTGGATACTAATTCTAGGAGATAAGCTTAAGGTTATGGCAGAGAACACATCTGGTTTAAAGTGAGTCCTGCAAAAAAGCAAAGCAAAGCACCCTCTGACTGAGTTCAGTCCACTGTCACACTGCTCACTTTTCTTGGCACACTAGATAAGCAGTTTGACTGGAATATTGTTTTAAGAATTACGTATTGCTTTTGGATAGACATAGTTTACCAGCTACCCTCCAAAAGCAGGATTCTAAATATGTTTTATTGGTGAGATTCCACCAATTCTGAATTTGTGCATGTTGCCATGGTAAAAGGAAATTAAATTGTGATACAGTGGTGCTATAAATAAAATACCTCTCTCCTTGGGTTCACTCATTGTGTAATAAGCCCAGTAGTTTCAGTATCGCATGCAGCAATCTTTTCATAATATATGTCTTTTAAGTCAATGTAAAATTAGAAGGACTACAAGAAGAATGGACAAATTCTACACACTAGAGGCAGGAACTGAGTCCATGTTATTCTTTGTTTTTTCACGCTGTCTAGAACAATGGTACTTAGAACGAATCTTTGCATAAGGAGCTTGCTAATGAGTAAGTCTCAAGCTCCAGGCTTGTAATTTGAATGAGAGAAGGGTATTGGAAACCTGTGCTTTTCTTCACCTAGTCCTGGTGATAATTACCAGGCACAACTGTTAATGGTCTGGCTCTCATCTATGCCACCTGGAACAGAGAGCTGATGTAGCTTCTCTCCCCAAGTTTGCAGAAATGTTGTAAAGACAAAATAGATCGTGCTCACTTGCTCCCTCACTGGTAGGGGGTGACCTTAGTGACTTTGTGGCAGAGTGTAGTAAGTGAAGCTTCATTTGTTACTTGTAAGGTTCCTCTCAGGCTCTCCAAAGGAAAAAATTAAAAAGGGAAGAAGGTACCATGGGGATGGTGGTTGATGCTGCCAGGGCTGCTGTGGGAGTAATTCTGGCGAGACCTAAATGGCTTCAGTCCCTTCTAAAAATCAGAGTTGATTTCTCTTCTCAGTGGCAGGTGTGAAGATAATGTGAACCTCCTAAGGCTTTCCAGATGGTGTTAGACTCAAACCGCTTTATGTTCTCACTTAGGTATTGGAACCTCACACTCAAACCTGTATCTTCAAATAGAAAAGTAACAGGGAGGCTTCAAAACAGTTCCTTGTCCTGCAGGTAGCTGGCTGTGTACTGTAGGAACCGTTAGTCTGTGGGGCTCTGGGGGGCCTGCTTATGTCATCTAATGAGAATGCCATCCTCCTTTTCTTTCAAATCTCACCCATACAGCTGTGACAGTGGGAGTGAGAGAAGTGTGTTTTGCAGCCCTGGCAGTTTTAGCACAGAGTAAGAAGAGATTGACTGAGGGAAGACAAAAACAACCTTGCAGGATAAGTTTCACCTTGACAGCACAATCTAACTGTCAGGTGGTGCCTACCACAGGTTTTCTTTTGAATTCAGAAACCTTTCTTATACTGAGTTTTTATTATCAATACATATGTATACTATTCAGGTTTATCATACTGGCCCTATGCAGGAGCTACTAAATACCCTGAAGAGCATATCTGTAGTTGCCTATTGACAAGTCCTGTACAGAACCACTATGCCTTGGAACAGATAGGAAGGGCAGAAGCTGCACAATGTCTTCAGTCCATATGAGAACACTGGTCTGGAACCATATCATGTTTATTCTTGAGCAAACTTCTGATCTGCTCAGTGCTTCGGCTTTGTACTACAATTGTGAACTACTGAACTTCTGGGTCAACTGCAGCCTGATTAGCTAATTCTTCTGCTTAGCACATCTTGAGCACCACTGAGCTTGTATTAAGCTCAAAAGTTTCACACACCTGACAGATGTCATGTGCCAAATCAGGAGCCAAGGGGAGGCAAATGCTTTGGAGTGTGTGGCCCAAGGTGCACAATCAGCACAAGCTTACAACTGCTTTAACCTAGAATTCAATGGATAAAGTCCTAGTTTGTTAAGCACAATTACCATGCGTTCTAAAACCTAGTCATAATTTGCCACCATCTAAATGTTAAGGCTCAACCTCGATATAGCTGCAACAGATAGTGTGGGTTATAAACTATAAATGTACATCTATAGTGGATTATTAAAAAGCTGATGATAAAATATAATTCTAGGAGCTGGTATTTATATATTTATAATTACCAGAAAGTGAGCAAAGATATGACCATCAGAACACACAGTATAGATGAGTTTTGAGGGAAGAATGAACTGGATTTATAACTCAGGCTCCAACACTTATCTAGCTGGTAGCTTTGGGCAGGTTCCTATACCTGTTCTGCCTGGCTTTTCTATCTTAAAAATCAGCGACCCTGAAAACATCTGTTTAAAGTACCACTGCTTATAAGTTTGAGTGGAGTTGAGGATTAAAGATCATATCATTGCAAATGACTGATAGAAAGCTCTGGTGCATAGTAGGTGCCTCACACATGGTCATGTTAGCACTACGGATGAGTACAAAGGCTTCACATTATGCTTCTTTTAATTAGCATTCACTAGAGGTGATGAGAAACAATACACATGTGTATATGTATAAAGTAGGACATGCTTTTATCCCTAGAGATGGGAATAGAGATTAGGGATTGCTTTATTCCCAAAGTAATAAACTGACATGAAGAGAATAAAAAAGTGCCTTCAGGTAAAATCAACTTTAAGAATATGTTTAACATATCTATTTGTCTCAGGAGTTCAGGTAAGAAAATTAACTGTCAGCCTGTAGTTGCTCCTTAGTATTTTTTTTTTCCTGAAACAAAAATCCAACTGTATGACGGAGACAACACAATAAATATGGTTTCAAGCCATTAGTGTACAATTCAGGCAATTTTCACCGAGGGAAGGATTTGTAGGCGTCTCCCTGAGAGAAGAGACACTGTGTCTAAGAAAGAAAGATGAAAAGTCCTATTAGTCATATTCCAAAACCTGGAAGCAGTGTAGCTTTGATTTCTATGTAGCTTTTAAAGCCACGTTGGGCAGTTTCTGTCTGCTGCTCTGTTTCCATTGGTAAAGCCTTAGGATGGCTATTCTGTGGACTGGAACAGGTGGTCCTCTTCCTGACAGGAAGCTCTTATTTCTTACCTTGCGTTGTGGCCTCTTAACTGACTCTAAGGTCCTGGCAAAGATCCTCTTTCTTAATACAAGGTATTTTAGACTCTACAGGTAATTTTCTTTAGTGCCTAATTTATCAGTTTTTTAGTCTGAGCCCATTTGTGTAGCAAAAGATGTGATCTAGGGCAGAACAGAAGGGCTGGATCCCTGTGAATTCTTGACTTTGGAATGCACGCTTTTTGGTGACATGGTCTCTGTTATAGCCCTTTTACTCAGAGAAACTTAGTAGCTATTTTACAAACACCTGCTCAATTTTAACTTAAGATAAAACCTGAAATCTTTCCCTAAAGCTTTGCAAATGTTAAAAAAGAACAAAAAGCTGTCAGCTGTTCTGATACTGATTGAAAGAAGAAAAACTCTTAAGCATTCAGCTGAGAAAGAGCTGGTTCCCCAGTTCTTGCACACCATGGATTTAATCAGCTCATTTCCTCCTTTCTTTAGAACAGTTATTCTCAAGAAATAAATGATTTTCAAAAATGTGAGACCTTCTATGATGGCACAAGTCCCACACTCACAAAGTTGGCACTGTTCTGGGGGATGACCAGGCACTGATAAGATTAAAAGTTCTCCAGGTGAGTTTAGAGTACAGCCTGGCAGACGGCACTGCTTTCCAGCATGTGGTACCTGAATGCTTCTATGGCAATCAGTGGATGTTCAGTGTCTGGCCCAGGTAAGGCTCCTCTTTAGTAGACTCCCATTTAGTAGGTGCTGGGTGAATGAAGCTAAATAATGCACTGTAATATTACTCCTTATTATTGTCTATCACAAAGTATTTTATGTGCATAGAGTATTTTGGCTGTCCAAAAGGGCTCCAGCATTCATAATTTTGTTTGCTTTTCACATCAGCCCTATGGTTGCAAGGCAGGTGAACGCAGATGAGGATGCAGGCTCAGAGAGGGAAGCTGATCCACTCCTGCAGTGGCAGGGCAAGGCTTGCAGTCAAATGTGCTGATTTCCAAGCCAGGGGCATTTCCCACATGCTGAAAGCACCCCCTTTCCTGCACACCAGATTTCCGAATGTGGAATGTATGCCCGCTGGTGGCACAGGGAATAAATTTTAAAAGGCAGTGTTTATTCACTTACTGTGCATTACGAAAAAAGTAGTTAGCACAGCAAGCACGTGGCTTATATCATTGCTGTAGGAAAGGTCAGATCCAAATTTTAAACATAAATTGGTTTTTTAAAAAATAGCAAGCAAAAAAAAAAGTAACAAGCAAATAATAGCAAAGGTGGTACAAAGATATGACGAAGTTTGGGTATTTAATAATGTTGTGAAAGAGCTTTGGAGTACTAATGAAGCACTAAAATTATTGTTGTCATTTTGTGCCTCCAGACCTTGAAACTTGGCTCAGGATGTCCCTCTGTGCATCTGCAAACTGAATGTTGCCATATAACCAGATTCTGATAAATACAGAATGCTAGACCATGTATGGTTGAAAGAAAAATGTGTAAAATGAATGTATAAATCTCCTATTTCTGGCTTCATTATCCTCTTTGTTATATTTATAGAATGCTAAGATGATTTCCCAAATTTTCTGCAAAAAGGTGATTAGGGAGTTTTTAATAAAAACCATTTTCTCTCCAGGATGCGTTCAGAGCACAGCCATTCACATTCATAGGATAGAACTCTTTGCATCCATTAAATGCAGCAGAGGTCAGGTACTCATTGACATATAAAGATATCTGTGGTAAATGTGAAAAGCAAGCTTCAATAGAGTAGAATAAGGAATTTATATGAAGAAGAAAAGGAGATTTCTGAAAAGACTGACTGCTGAGTAATGTGATTGGATTAATTTCTTTCAGTTTATCTGTCACTTTTTTGCATGACGAACATATATTATAAACTCAAGAAACAATGAGGAAGCTTTTATGCATTTATTTTTTGTAGTAGTAGGGATTAAACCCAGGCCTCTATTATTCTAGGCAAGCTCTCTCTCAGTGAGCTACATCCCCATTCCTTTCTGGTTTTTTCATTTTTAAGGCAGGAAGTTTTTGCAAATGGGAAGGGGACTATGTGATGGAAGGGAAAGAGTGGAGGAGAAGGGGAGGTAAAAAATATTAAGATGTGCTATGTACATGCACAGCCCCCCATGATGAATGTAATCATTGTGTACTGCAAATGTGCACTAATAAAAATAAAAAAAAATTAAAAGAAAGGACAGGCTCTTGCTAAGTTGTTCAGGTTGTGACTGAACCTGTGATCCTCCTGCCTCAGCCTTCCTAATATCTGGAATGACAGGCATGTGCTATCATGCCCAGCCAATAAGAAAATATTTAAAATATTGTCCCCAAAATACATCGATTCTACCAGAGTGGGGGCACAATGATCTCAATGCCATTAGATATATCTCTACCAGATACCAATTTTATGAATAACACAATTGCTGGACTTCATAGTAGGAGAAAAGCCGGATGCAGTTGTGGATATGAGGGTACCACCGTGAACTGTGAAGCCTGATACACACAAAGGATATTTTGAGGTGGCACCAGGAGAGCTCAAGGGGATAGATGCTAAGAAGTGGCCTTTTTGCTGGTGGTGTTTGGAGGTTGGGCACAGGTGGTTTCATCTAGTGAATTCCATTCAAGCTGGTTTCCAAGCCTCTCCAGAGAGTGTGGCTTTCCGCAGAATGGGCCTTGCTTTCCCTGGGTTTCAGATGAAAAGTTTTGTGAAAGTATCACAGAAGCAGTTTTACTTTGTGCTTTGGGTGGGTGTATTTGCTCTCTTGCTCACCCTCCTGTTTGTTTTTGAAGGATTACATCTTTCTTAGTTCTCTGGTTGTGCTTTTCAACAGCACATTTTACTTTCTGGTTGTCAGAAGTTGTAAATCTTCTGAGCTGAAAATATGTTTGACAGAAGTTTTCTAAGTGAGGCCTTCTTTTTTCAGTATTCTTTTAAAAAGCTCGCAGTGCTAAGTAGAATATATGCATTAATTTGCATAAATAAAGGATTGGGAGCACACCCATCAGCTGACAGTATTTATTTCTGAGAAGGGAATCTGAAGTTGCCTGGGGATGAAAGGAGACTTTTCCTGTATCTATTTTGAGTACTATTTTAAAAAATGCTTTTACATATTATTTGTAATCGCTTAAACTCTCTATACATTAGTAATATGTAAACTTCCATATGAAGCAAATAGACTTGGATATTTTCATTTAGTGCCTTAATGTGGATGTAGTGTGTGTGTGTGTGTGTGTGTGTGTGTGCGCGCGCGTATGTAAGAAGGGACATAGAGGTACATAGGAAGGGAGTAAATAAAGTAGGAGACTCAGATTTGAATTGTGTTAGTCCAGACTTTAAAAATGTCAAAAATGTTGACATTCTGGTTGTGCAGCTGAGAACCAGAGCACACTCACCTGTGAGAGTCTGTTGTCCCCAGAGCTGTCCTGACCCCACTGCAAATAGCCAACATCACTGCGGGTTAGGACTCCGTGTAACCTCTCCTGAGACTTTCCCTTCTCACAGCCGTTGAAGACATTTGGACTTGCTCTTCCGGTTAATATCATGTTCAGGACTGCCTAGGTGGGGTATTTAAAAAATATTTACCTTTGAGATAACAATGAACAAGGACTGTTTTCTTTTTAAAAGGTTCATTTTTTTTATTGAAAAGAATGAAACCACATAAGACATAATTCCAGAGATACATAGATCTTAACCACTTAGTCGAGTTAAAACAATGGTTTCTTGACTACTCATTTTGAACTTACCCTGGATCTCCCCCCCTCTGTTATTGTTGCCTTTCCTCCCTTGACATTCCCTTTAAACACGGTTTCCATTGTGGTTTAAGCAGAGAACTAAGACACTTCTGTCTTTTTCACATATTAGGGATTCCTGGTGAATTTTATCAGAATATTTTCTAATGTTTCTAGAATATCAAGAATATTGGATGCTCAGAAGTAAATTAGAGAGGACCATAATAAAAGGTGGGAGGTGGATTCTGATAACTCAAAGTGCCATCCTCTTAATCTTTCAAAGATAACTTGACACTCTGCTGAAGGAGTGAAGGTACTTACCTAGAAAACAATCCTAATTCAGATTCTACAATAGAGAGGCAAAGTCTTCTCACTTACCTGCCTGCAAAGGAAGCCTCCTGAATGTGGCTGTAACAGATGGGTGGTGGTGATGTCCAGGTCTTTCTGAAGCCTGCAGTGGGAGAAGACGTCAGCATCCATTCAGAGAAACAGGAAGGAGGGCTCATGCAGCCACTGTTCCTCACACATGCCTTGTATGTTTCTACAAGGACTCAGGCTGCAGAAATGATGGGGAAGCTATAGATGCCTGTAGGGGACACATGTGATAAAACACCAGAGTGACTGTTGAGCCCATTTCTTTACTGCAGAAGGGCAGGGGCCAGGGACTGTAGTCTGTAGTCCTAGCCTTCAATATACAAAGTCCAGATGGAATTTGGCTCTTGTTGCACCCAGAGTGCTGAGTACTGATATGGAAACTGTATATGTTCTTTTTGTCAGTATATGTTTGTAATCCATAATACTTATAGTCATCTTGGAGAAGAGGCATATATACATATCACATCTTCATCATATTTATTTCTCCTTCCCCTCCCTACCTCCCATCTCTTCCTATCTCCAGATCCTTTTTCTATCTCCTGTATATGTTTTTGACAGAATCTATTCATAGGACTGGAGGTTAAGTTTTTCTGTGGATAACACCTAAGAACTTAGATCAAGATTGGTGCATGCCTTGGTGGTATAGTTCAGGCCTGTGTTTCCCAAAGTATGGCATGATTTTAGATGGTATAGATATTATTTACAAGTTTTAATAGTGACATTTTTATTTTAAATGCATTTTATCTTTATTAATGTTTAGGAAGATAGTAATGCATAGAATATTAATGTTCAGGAACAGGTTGATAGTTAAATGTGCATTGATTTAAAGAAAATTGTTGAGCAAATAGCATAGACCATAAAATGTGACAGTGATATGTAAAAGACAAGTATCAAGATCACTGCTTTAGGGCTCGTAATGCTTATTTACGACAGCCTTCTAGCTCTTCTCTGACTCTCAAGCTTTGTCTTTCTTTCAGGGCCTAGAAGAAAGTCTACTTCATTCAGGAAGTCTTCCCTAAATACCTTGTCTACTAAGAACCATTTGTTTTCTAGAATTCACTAAGACTCACTTACACCTCATTTGGCAGGTCAGATACCACCTGGGTCTTGTCCAGACTCTTTAAATATATATTTTGTCTTTCCCAAGTTGGGAAGTTTGAGGAGGTAATCAGAATCATAGCTTCTCTTATTTGTATTTTTTAGAGTGCTAATAATAAGGTTTTCCACATAACAACAACAAAATAAATATTTGAGGATATATTGTGGCTCTAACTAGTAAAATTTATTTATTTGACAATTGATATCTGCTTGCCCATCCATATGGCTAAATCACCTAAATGACAAAAAACATAACCAGAAGAGTATCTATCTGCAAAACAAACTACCTGGGAGATAATATTTTTCAATCCAAGTGTATATTGTGCATGTTATCCCAGTTCTTCAGGAAATACCTGCCCAAATATGTGTAGATTTTACCTCTCAAATGTTCTGGAGAAGATCAGGCTGTAAAGAAAGAGGATGACACCATGGCTTCCTTCTCCTTTAAACTGTTCAGGAAACAAAAAAAAAAGCACTTTTGTTTATGAGCAGTGCATGTGTGGCTATTGTTGGGTATGAATTCCAAGATTCACAGCCTAGGAGAGGACCTCAGCCCACCCTGCTGCTGAGAGGATGGGTCTCTCTCTGCCTCCTTCGGGCATTTTTTCACTCTCCAGCACACCCTCCTTCCGGGCTTCAGGCTTACCAACCATTCCCTTAGTCTTTAACTTCAGCCCTAAGGGCGTGTAGCCTGGATAGAATATAAGGGACAGAAAGAGGGCTGCTATTGTTGTTGCTTGGTGCTTGGTCACTGATTTTCTGCCTTTTTGCTTTCTGCCCATTATGAGCTATTTCTCCTCTGTGATGCTCCTTTGCTGTGCTAACCTGCCTCAGAGCCAGATACTTATGGGCTGAAACCTCTACAAACCGTGAGCCAAAATACACCTTTTCTCCTGTCACTTTGTGGTTGCATATTTTATTTCAGCAACAAGGAAAAGTCACTACGATAAGGAGACTCTAGCAGGTATAGTTTCTGGGTTTTTCTAGCTTCTACACCCATCCTTATTCCTTACCTCATAGCTCCCCATAATTTAACCTTTTCCTCCTCTGCCTTTCTCATCACATCTTTTGTAGTTTTCTTGCCAACTTCTTTTCCTTATAAGGATCCCTGTAATTAATTAGGCCCATCTTTATAATCCAGGGTAATTTCTCCGTTTCAAGCTCTCTCCTACAAAAATCCTTCTTCCAGGTAGGAATCATGTTTCTGGGTATCATTAGGATGTGAATCACTTAGGCTATACAGTTTATCTAATGGGTATAGCTGCCTTCTACCTGTAAGCTAACTGAGGACATAGAAGAATATAGGCACAAGGTGGCCACATGGAAAAAGCCCCAAATCCAGTATTTTATTTGGAATTTTCTTATTATTTTTGACATCCACTGATTTAGATATTAATAAGTACAACCCTATGTGAACTAATGTTGTAAGTTATATATAGTACTATAGGTAAATTAATGTCTTAGGGCTGTGATAAGAATTATCAGAAATCTGAATGATTTTAAACAATGGAATTTATTCTCTTAAGTGGTGGAGGCTAGAACTGTGGAACTGAGATCTCAGAGAGGGGCTGTGCTATCTCTGCAGACCATAAGGAAGACCCTTCCTGCATCTTTGCAGCTTCTTCTGGTTGCAGGAATCCCTGGCATTCCTTGGTTTGTAGATACATTGCTTCAATGTCTGCCTTGTTTTTTCCATAGTGTTCTTCTTGTGTGTTTCTATCCCAGTTTTTCTTCTTGTAAATATACCAGTTGTTGGAAGATAGCCCATGGCTACTCAGACTTCACCTTAACTTGGTTACATCTATAAAGGCCCTATTTTCAAACAAGTTCACACTCCCAGGTACTGGAGGTTAGGACTTCAACATACATTTTTGAGGGAACACAGTTCAACTGGTAACATTAGATCTCCTGCCCACGTATGGTCCTCAGACCTCTAGCTTGAGATCTCTGCCTAAATAGGATGAGGAATCAAGACAGATGCATTTTGATAATGAATGGGGTTTGATCAAGGAGTGCTGATCACAACATGCAGCCCCAGCTAGGAGGAATGCTCCTGAGACAAATATATATATACTGCCAAGTTACCGCTTACTCATCAAATAGAGCTAACTTTTCCTTGGTGAGGTTTAAGTCATGGGCAGCTTGGGTTAGCTTGACCCACATGCTGGCCTACTTGCAAGGCAGAGTGCATTTATATTTGGGAACTTCCTTGTTTATCCCAGCTCTCTCAGTCTTTGGATGAGCCTGTGTAGCTCCAGCTCTGATTGTCTCATCTCTACTATGGCTACTCTTAAGAATCCCTTGCAGGTGTGGGCATTCTTCATATTGAATCAGACTCGCACAGGTTTTGGTGGAGGAGAGGAAAGACAGGGAGAGATTTATAATTTTTAGCAGAAAGGGTCGTTTCCTAAATGGACCCTTTATACATGCATAATTCCATGAAATGTCCTACACCCACAACAAAGAATCCTTAAGCAGGTTTCTATCTTAACATTTCATGTCAAGCAATTAAAATCTTTCATACAGGTTTCATTATTTTTGTATTGTTGCTAAAACAAATTACTATAAATCTAATTGCTTAAATTGGGGCTGGAGGTGTAGCTTAGTAATAGATCAATAGATCACATATAGTATTTAGTACGTATGAAGCATAAGCTGTGGGTTCAATTTCTAGCCCAAAAAAGAAAACCCAGAAAAAGACATTTAAAAAAGCTTAAATAATACATGCAATACTGTCTTATGCTTCTAAAGGTTAAAAACCCAAAACAGGTCATGTTGAGCTTAAAATCAAGATGCCAGAGAGCAGCCTTCCTAGAGACTGTAGGAAAGAATGTGTTCCCTTGTTCTTTCCATACAAGGAAGAAAGGCCCTCCCCACATTCCCTGGTTTACACCCCCTTCTTGCATCTTCAAAGCCAGCAACAGCAGATGACACTCTCCTCACAGCACAGGCCCTGGCTTTGTCTTCTGCCTCTCTGTTCCACAGTTTAAGACCCTTCCTATTATATCAGGCCCATCTGGCTAATTCAGGTGTGTCCCTCTATTTTAAAGTCTTCTGACTAGCAACCTAATTCTCCTTTGTAATGTAGCATGTTCACAGTTCTTGGGGAGGGAATGGACATCTTTGGGGGTACCATTCTTCTGCCTGTTACACAGTTAATAACACCTAGGAGAAGGTAGGGGAGGTAGGCTTGGGAAAAATGTGTTTAACCAAGATCATATAGCTAGAAGGTGGCTGAGAACTCATGCTCAAGTTTTCTGCCAGCCTTTAAAAGCAATGAAGAAGTGAGTTTCATTGATCACACTTCCCATTTCCATATCTTCTAAAGTTATACGGCTTCATGAGTATCCTGCTAATTATCTTTTACTATCGCAGGTAGTTTTCCAATTCTTCAAAAAATCAGTTTGCATTTCTTTCTCTGCAGATGAGTCATTTAAAAGCACCTTCCATTTATCACCATTACTGCCTGCTACTTTGTCCCCTCCCCATCCCGGAGTGGGAAAGAATCCGTGCTGTGGAAGACATCATATGAAAAATGCTTCTAGAAAAGATGAAATGAGACCAGTCTTTTCAGGCCAGAATTCACTCACTTGAAGTCAGTGTGAATGGTCTTTCTGGCAGCTAAGACAAGGCCTCTAGTTTTCTACCATTTTTGTTTTTTATCCATTAGATGAGGCAAGACTGATTTAAGATTTTCATTTCCCACAAAAGAAATCCTGCTATGTGCCCTCTGAAGTATTATTCTCTGGGGTTGATTAGCCAACAAAAAGAGGCATTTGTAACTGGGTCTCTGTGTGATCTGGCCTCTTTCTAGGTTGTAGGGAGGGAGAGGCAGGCTTCTCTTTCTCTCATTCCGCCCTTTCTTAGCCCTCGAAATGACCTGGTTTTCTTAACAAGCATCATTAGAAATCTCCTTTATAAAAGCGAGAAGATTCCTGTAAGAGCAGTTCAACATAAAGGAATTAGCTCAACATTTAAACACTTACACATTGTAAATGATCATAGATGAATTTCTCAGTGGCTTCTCTCTCTGAAAATTCAAACAGCTGGAGCTATAAATCAGGAATAGAGATAAAAATGAAAAGGAAGATAAAAGGTACTTCTAAGAGATGTCAACTCACTGTTATTACCTCAAGGGAGTTTTTTGTTTCATTACAAAATCACATTGATAAAAACTGACATATTATCTTATACAGAGCCATGTAAAACATACACGGTAAAATTGGGTGGATATTGGCATCACTTTTATATTCAAATTTAAGTCACTGTGATAACTTAAGCTGTGGAAACCATAAACAGAATTTTTTCACCTGATAGGTAGAGTTTAGCTGTTTTTAAGACATTTGATATGGAAATACATGGTGTGTTGATTTCAGATGTCAAATATTCTTGATCATAGTGATTTCTGGCTGGAGAAATTCACATGGGGACTCTCCATTTTGGCTGTGTGCATCACTGACAGCCTCGGTACCTGCCTCTTTGGAAGCGGTCTCTCGCCACAGCTGGTTCTTCCAGGAGCATCAGTGGGGCTCTACCTCCATTTCCACCTGTAAAATCAGGCTCCATTTGCACTTCATTTGCAGGTGGGTAGGCATCGGCTTACCTGTTCCGTGAAATCATCCCTAGAGTAATCAGGAGTTGAGGCAATGTAAGTGTCCTCCGTGACAAGACAGATGGTGGCCTTCTGAGTTGCTCCAGCGTTCCAGAGGATGCCAGCCAGTGCCGAAGCCAGGGCTTGCTCCTGCTCAGGCTTGCTCAGCTCACATAAACTGCAATGCAGGAGTGGGGCGAGACAGTGAAACGAACAGCTAGAGGTAGGGATCTCCAATTTTATGTTTGCTTTGAGCATGGTTGGTGTCTATTTGGTTTCTTCATCAACCTGTAACAGCCTGTGCCATCTCACCCCAGCTAGTGCTGACACTGTCCTGTGAAATGCACTCCAGCAGGGATCAGCTTGAGCTCTGCTGCCCATTAATAGGCCCCTTTCAAGCCCAACTCCAAATTATCCCTCCTTATCTCAGACATCCATCTTTCAAACCCTCTTCCCAGAACATTCTCTCCATATTCCACCTCCAGCCCTGTCCTCCTGTGCTCCTGTCCTGAGCACTCACATCTCTCCTACACATCACACTACGTCTACTTCAGGTCAAGCTCACACCCACACTCACCCAGCAGCCACTATTAAGTATTTACATCTATCACCTCACTTGCCACAATAACACCCCCCCCCCCAGGTAATACTATTATTACTTCTATTTTAAAGGCCAGGAGAGTAAGACACTGGGAGGTGAAGTAGTTTACCCTTGGTCATTCATCTTTAAAGTGAGAGAGCTCAGGCCTTCTGGGTCCTGCATCTGAACTATTACTCTATGCTCAACTCCCTGGGAAACGCCAGCCAGCCTTTACATGATAGACCCTCACACTGATTTGTTTCTAAATGTTTAACATCGACAGCTATGACCTTTATAAAGAAATATATGATAGAGGTTATGAATGAACTCAGCACTGAGTTCAATCATTCCTGCTCTGTGCTGCAGGTAGAATGAGATTGAGACAGAGGGCTCTGAGAGTAACTGCAGAGGGAGGAGAGGGGGATCAGAGGGAGGAGAGAGGGTCCCGGCAGGAGGGCTCGGCGAGGCTGCACAGAGCACTGCTTGCTTGGAGCGCAGTGCCATTACATTTGCTCAGTATCTGCCACAGGCCAGATGCTTGCTAACTGCAGCACACTGATACAGCAAATGTGCATGCCTCTGTGTTCCTTTTGAATTTCTCAGGATCCCTTTTCCTCGGGTGGGGAGCGTGTCCCCTGCCTGCTCTCAGTCCTATTGCCAGTCACTTTTAGCACTCTCCAGAGGACTGGAGCCACTTTCCCTGCCCAGAAGTGTGACTAGGAGTAAGGCTCCCTTCCCAGGGGCTGGCCCATTGCCACGACTGGCTGGGCAGGGAGGCACGGGAGCCTCTGCCTTCTCTAAAATAGGGCAGGTTGTGCACTTCTTTCTCCAGCTCCCCGTGGCAGCGGGCTGACATCACTGGGAGCCATTTTCTTTCTTAGCTACTTTTCCTTCCCTGGCCTGCTTCTCTCACTGGTATGGTTTAGATCTAAATGTCCCCCAAAGGTCTCATGTGTTTGTAAGGTGACTGGATCATGGGGGCGCCATACCCATCAGTGGATTCATTCATTGATGAGTTCAGTAAATAATATACTCATATAAGGTTGAGCTTGGTTGGAGGTGAGTCACTGGGCTGGGACCCAGAAGGTACATTTTTCATCCCAGGCTGCTCCCTTCTCTGTCTACTTCCTGGGTTCCTTAGAGTAGGTGTGCTCTGCTGGGACCTTCCACCATGCTGTTTCTGCCTTGAAAGCAGCCAGCTTTGGGCTGAATCCACTGGAACCTGAAACCAAATAAACCTGTCCTCTTCTAAGTTGTGGGTGTTGAGTATTTTGTCCCAGGGATGGAAATGTGTCTAAAACTTTCACTGCTTCACAGGTTCCTCCTCAAGACAATTCCTTAATAAATCACTGGCTTAAAGAATTCCCACTGTTCCTACCAAACCTGGCAGTTCATGATCTTAGAATATATTATACAGTTAGTTCTGGTTTTGGATGATAGCTTATCTTGCCTCAGGGCACATATGAACCTGTTACTGATTTATATTTCCTCTTATATCTAACATAGGGCTCTGCTCATGATAGAGGGTTGTTAGCTTCTAGTAAGATAAATTTGAGTAAGTTTCAACTAATTTTTAAAAATCAAGTAACTACCAGACATCATCCTTTGGTCTAGTTAAATAGGAAGACAGAGCCCTCACGTTTGGGTTTCTTTTCCCCATTTTGCTCCTTCCTACAATTGTGAGGTTAAAGCTCTCATCAGATATAGACTTGTAAGCTCACCTGAGATTTGCTGCATAATTTTGGTTTGCGTAAAACCTGTCAACCTTATTCCTGCAACTGAACACTGAGAGTGACTCCAGGAGAGCACTCAGCAGTGACCAGTGCAGCCCACTGAAGGGAAATGGCTTTCCTTCTTGACACAACCAGAAATTTCCAGTTGATTATTTAGCATTTAATGGTTCTTGTGAAATAGGCCACTCATGTAAGTTCTCTTACCTGTGAAAGTTACAGTCTTTTCCTTTCCTGGTGAATAACAAGTATTTGATGATGAATCCTTGTACAGCCATCTGAATACCCCGGGAACCTCCCTGAAACACGGGGAAACAGAATGGAGCCAGCTCTATGATGGTAGTGGGGTTAATAAGGACAGCTTGGCTAAGAAATCTCTTGGAAATGGGTATCTCTGCCTATTCTCCTCCGCCCGCTTTTTCATCTGACCATCCCCCGGGCTGGTGGCTATGGCTGGATACTACTGCTAGGCTCCAATGTGGAATTAGTCTCTTTGTGGAGCCTTCAAACCAGTGCTTGAGGATTTATGATTTCTTCCATTCTTTCATTACTATGCCCCGCTTCATCGCAGACTTTTCAATTTGCAGGAGATAAGGAACTAGTTAGCCAGCCCTTGGAATTCAGGTGTGACTAGTGACTGATGATATGAATTATTGATATTTCAAACAAGCCAGAAATAAGTTTATAGATTTCCTTTTGCCTTCTGAATCTTCAGGGATGCTTAGAGGTCAGAGAGACAGTATAGGAAAAGTGGAATTTGGAAGTGAGTGGGGAGAACAAGAAATGGGAGCTTTGTTATAACCCAGACAATATGCCATAATTTAGTCTTTTATCATTTAAAATTAATTTGTAAATTATACATGTATTTCTACATACAGTTTATAATGTCATATGGATGCAGACGAGAAGGAAGCACAGATAAAGAAGATGATACTAGGAACTTTAAAAATTTATAAACTGGCTTTACCTTTTCTATTTCCAAAGTGGAAGCCAGGTCTGAGAAAGGATCATGGAACTTGAAGCGAGCCTTTTTCCAGTCACAGCTGAAGACATGGGTAGTATTTCCAAAGAGACTCTGTCGAAGCTTCTGAAAAGAAGGGAAATACCTGGTTCAACTAACGATAATCCTGCCTACATGGAGGATCATACAGGCAGGCCTTGTTTCCTTCTACATTCAGAATTATATTTTACTATAGTCCTCAGTTTAACTGTGTAAAGTCCTGGGCAAAATATTCACAACATGTTCACTTTGGTCCACTGTGTCTGATTGTGTCCCCTGAGTCACACCTTCTACGCTGACCGTCTGCCTCATGGTCCATCCTGTGCTGCAGTCTGTTCCTGTGCCTCTTCTCTTCAAAGCCACACCTCTACAAGTTCCGTGGTTTGGCTTTCCTCTCTTGACAGTATGTCATCTTTCTAACCCAAGTGCAATGCTGATTTCAATGATATTAAACAAGTATTCTTGCCCCAAGATCTTTGAGGTTTTCCTGAATACTCTGTAGCATGCTAAGATCTGAGAGATTACTTTTTGAAACTCCAAGAAAAATAGAAATAACTCTTTATAAATCAAACTCATGAAGAAAAATAGAGTCGATTTATAATTGAAGACTTCGCAATCATTTAGCATGTGTTAGGTCCTGCGTGAATTATGGATCCATTAAAAGTCTAATGCCTGAAACAGTACACAGGGCACAATGTATGACATTTCACAGCATAATAAAAGCACCATGAGAAAGAGAGAGGAAGGAGACCTTCTGGTTGATTTATTCAGGAGGTCTTTGAGGAGGAGGAGGAGGCAGCATTTGAACTAGACTGGTAAGTGGCTTCTAGCACATACTGAGCATTTTCTATGTATTAGGCATTACGGAAATTTAATTATGTGACATAGGTACTATTACTGTCTTCCTTTTATCCAGATAAGGGAACTTAACCTAAAAAAAATAAAGCATTTCCCTTAGGTCACACAGCTTGTAGAAACAGCTGGGATTTGCACCCATTCTCCTGACACTTTCCTACTATGGCCTTGTATGTGTCATGCTTATGTCTTCTATCATTTTTGTGCACCAATCACTATGTGGTATCTTTTTAATTAGATTGTGCTACTTTTTATAATTTAAAAAGAATGCTTTATAGTATTTCCATAAGTGAAGATCAAAATTGTTTTTCATGCATATTTTTAAAAATACAATAGAAATCAAGCAATATTACAAATTATAGCTAGAAACTGTGTTGCCTGTGAAAGCTCTGACTGAGCCCTGCCCTATTTATGATCTAAACAGGGAAAGGAAGGTAAGAAGTATTGAAAAAGTATGACTGCATGGCCTTTACTGACCCTTTCTCCCTGGACTGCCAGAGTAGAGAAAGGATAACTTCCTCTGCAGGTGCCTGCAATCTGTGCTCCATGCTACATTCCTACAAGCACCCGCTGCTAGCAAGGGCACCCACTCTGAGACAGGTCACGGCACAGCCTATGGCTTATGACCATGGCAGGACAGAGGGGACAGTGAAGGCAGAGGAGATAGGAAGGACAGGGCCTGGACAGAGAGGAAGCTCTGAGCATGTGCATACACACATCAGTGTTCAGGCGGCCCTGGGAGTTTAGTCTTCCTGGAGGGGTGTGTGCATGCATGTGTGTGTGTGCGCACGCGCGAGTGTGTGTGTCTGAGAGTCTGTGTCTGTGTGTCCAAGGGGCAGCAAGTAGAGTGGACACTGAGAATGCAACCTATCTGTGGCCTGATCCAAAAGGCTGGCTCCATTCCTTGTTGACCACAAGAACCTGGACAATTTGTTAGACCTTTCTGATGTGTTTATTCAGGTGTGGCGGTAACCCTTTTGGTCCACATCATGGCTGTTTTTGGAAGGGGAGTATGGAAAAGGGCTTTGGAAACCACGTGTGATTAGTAGATTTAGTGCCCTTATTTGTTAAAAACACAGCCCTTCTACCTAGGAATACCATATGTTGATTGCAAGGAAGTTCCAACATAGAGGGAAAAGGACCAGAGACTGACAGAAATAAGGGAGGAAAGGCCACGTGTAAATGTGAACAATCAAAGCTACTGAGACAAGACATCTTAGGGTTCAAATCCAAGTAAAAATTTCTGCAAGTCGCTGGGGGTCTAGCTCAGCGGCATAAGCGCCTGCCTTGCAAGCACGTGGTCATGAGTTCGATCCCTGGTACCGATAAAAAAAAAAAATTCTGCAAGTCAAACTGGACTCCTGTTGCTGTAGCCAGTTGCCACCTGCAGACAGCTTCACGTTCCAGCTATGTCCACGGGAGGTTCAGGAGCCGAGGGTCACAGGCCTCCACAGCCCACCCCCTGGCCAGAACATTTGGTCTCAGGTAAATATAATTTATAATAAGATGAGCCCAACACGTGTTTAACAATATGCTGTTGAACTGCCTGAGAACTAGCCAAAAGTAGCAATTAGTCTTTAAAAAAAAATGAGTGCAAGGATTATTATTAGATACAGTAAAATATGGTTTGTAGCCTTTTCTTCTCACTTTGCTAGTTTTCTGGTACTTGGTTCCTCTCTCTTTCCTGGCAGTATGTTCCATTTGGTTGTTACGATGTTCATGATAATGATGGTTATCATCATTCACACACGTGCACATACACATACTTTCAAAAACGGGTCCAGAATTGTTCTTCCAAACAGGTTTAATTTTCTTACCTTGACAGCCTTATCCCTTGCCCCTGTGCAAGTTTCTCTGTGACCATTTGCTCCAACCTAGTCTTCTCCCTCGTTTACTACTAACTTGAGATAGAATAACCCCCCCCCCCAAATCTCCTACCTTTGTTCTAGTAGGAAATTAACACTAGTTAATATTTTACATATTGTTGTTTTAGGAGTTGTTCAAGTTACAAGATTTAGGCATGAAAAAAATGATCAATCAAACAGTGCGCGTGCAAACTGTTCCTTTTGATGACTTACAGAGACTAGTAGTATAGTTATTTATCTTGCATATATGTACGCACACACACATATATGTATAACTATGTAATGTATTGTTGCCATCATGGAATCAGAGATTTTAGAATTACTGAATCCTAAGAAATTTATATCCTGGACCACCTAAAAGCATGACTGACTTAGTTCTACTATGTTTAGAACATACTAAGCATATTGTGAACCTACTTAGGTTCACAATAAGTATTTGTTGAATTGGATATATATACATATATATCTTACCCTTTTGTGTTACAGTTAAAGGACATGAGTCACAAGCCATTAAATGGCATGCCTAAGGTCACATGGACAGTAAACTACAGTGCAGACTCCAAATGCAAGCCTTTCAATTTGTACCAGCCAGGTTCCCAGCAGCAAACAGATGACACTTGGGTCAGGATTATCAATTGGAGGACATTTAGTAAAGGGCTATTTACAAAAATGTGGGCTGAGTAGGGGACACCACAGAGGTTAATGCAGTATCCCAGTCTGGGAAGCAAGGGAGTCTGGATGAATTCTAGACCTAAAGGAGCAGACACATGACCCAGAAAGGAGAGCATCCTAAGGGGCATCCCATTCTCCAGCTCATCTCCTTTTAGAACTCAACAGGAAGCTCAACAGGAAGCAGGAAGGAGGAGGGCGCTTATTGAGGGAGACCTAGAACTCAGCTTCCAGAGCAGAGAGCAAGGTAGAAATAGCAGAGAAGGTACTTACTATCTGTTCCTGAAGTCTCCTCAGGGGACTGGCCAGAGGCAATGAATTAATTAGTTTGTGCCTGTTCAGGGACTGGGGTGTAGCTCAGTAGTAAAGCACATGCCTACTATGTATGAGGCTCTGGGTTTGATGCCAAGTACCACAAAAACAAACAAACGAACAAACAAAATCAGACAGCTATTAAGGTCTACGTATAGTCTAGACTGTATTCTGGGGTCACCAGCCTCTTTCTCCCTGAAAAGCATCCCTGTCAGTTATCATCCTTCTTTTAGCGCTTCATTCACTTAAGTCTCCCCAGAATGTCTTTGTTCCTGGCATTACAGTCTTTCTGTGCTATTGCTGGATATCATAGTAAGATATCCAGCTGCTACACTGGGGGTTTGTTCATTGGTTACTAGTAAGAGGCTGGGTGTGGTATAGGTGCATGCCTATAATCCCGGCACTCAAGAGGCTGAGGCTGAGGCAGGAGGATCACTGCAAGCTGGAGGCTAGCCTGGGCTAAAGAGTGAGTTCAGGCTAGCTTCAATTGCCTAGGGAAACACTGTCTTAAGACAAAGTAATAATAATAATAATAGTACTGCATTCCAGGCTGAGTCTGGGATAGAGCTTGGGGGGAAGGAGGATGGGGAACCCAGGAAGGTTATGGGCAGAGCTGCTGGAAAAACCCAGGGTGATGCACCTTCTCTGCAGCTTCTGCTCAAGCTCATCCTCCCACACAAGGTGTAAAGTGTCAAGTTGGGAAGCAAGAAAGCTCTTGTACTAGAAAGGAGGCAACAATAGGTGAGAAGCAGACAAAGTGAGGAAAGTGCAGATGTGGGGCTTGTTTTCACCAACCTCCATGTCTTAGGTGGATTTCCGGCAAAGAGACAGTGTGTGCCAAAGTCAGCAAGCCCCATGCATCCCAACTCCACACGGGGGAGAAATGAGAACAGCACATCCACAACAGCAGGCCTTCTCCAATGACCATTAGGGTTCCATAGCTCTGATAATTTGCCAGGTGGCCGCACTGCTGAAATGTGCATTAGAATCGGTCAAGCTTCCCAGCCACCTTCCTGGAACTAACATAGTCAGGATCCCAAGGCTGTCATTTTGAAATCCCAGGGTGTGTTTAATTAATGCTACTGCTATTTAAAGGACGCACTATCATATGGTCCACATAATGGGAATAAATCCAAATTCATTTTTAAAAAAGACAAGTCAATGATTCCCTAGCCTGGGGACTTCCTGAACACTTCATCAGCTTGGCTTCAGGCTGCAGTGGTCTGAAGCCTCTGGCTCAGCCTTTGCCAAAGAGGCAGGATTCCCATGGAAGAGCTGCCGGGGAGCGCTCCCAGCACAGCTGTTCATGTTTGCTGCTAAGTGGGAACACTCAGACCCAGACCCACCAGCCTCCCCGATACAGGAAAGGCTTGGTAAACATCTGTGGGTGCTTTTTCTATTTTTTAAAAATTTGTGTATGTTTTTAAAAATAGGTGGTGTACTTGCGCTGTTCAGAATTCAGAGTACAGAATGTGCACTGTGAGAAGACCCCTTCACACCCAGGCCTCTTGGCCCCACCTCACCCCGCCGTGTCTTGTGACGCTTTCTGGACTTCATGTCTTTATTTACAGTCAAACATTGACGTGGAATCACAGTTTTCTCTCTTTTACCTAATAGGTAGCCTATTTTTCAGACATATGTAAATTTTAAAATGATACTTTTCCAAAGAAATTTGTTTCTAAAGTCAAGAATACATCTTAATAAGAGATTTTTCCTTAAAAACCATGTCAAGCATACACAAGTTGAATATTGCTTACCACAAATTCTTAGGACCAGAAGTGTTTCAGATTTCACATTTTTCAGGTTTTTGGAATATTATATATATATATATATATATATATATATATATATGATATCCTGGGGATGTGGTCCAACTCTAAACATGAAATTCATTTGTTTCATATATTATATGCCTCATTCCCATTGTACTAGGCAATTTTACACACTATTTTTTACTGTGCCCGTGTTTAGTCCACATGAGGTCAAGTGTGAAATTTTCTACTTGCCATACTGATAGCTGAAAAGGTTTGGATTTTATAGCATTTTGGATTAGAGATGCTCAACCTGTACTTATTCTAACTCTAGTAATGAAAGCAGAGTAATCACTGAGACCCAGCAGCACCGGAAGGATTACATATTACCTGCCTTCACTGTTGGAGAGGAGAGCAGCTAATGAAGTATGCAAGACGAAAGTTAAAGTGCTATTTAGGGTGTCAAAGCGCAGCGTCTTATGGAAGCTCTGCCACCTGCCTTCCTGTGCCGTCAGGTATGTGAGCCAAAGAGAGAAAGAAGGTAGATGAAAGCAGACAGATTTTTGACCATGAGAAAGAGCAAACAAGGTCTCCCAGAATGTGGATACCGCAAACATGACAGTGGAGGGTTGTTTGGTGAAGCCTGTGGGGATATGTACAATAAAAAGGACTTTGAGGGGCGGTGGTACTGCAGCTTTCTGGGTCTGGGGAGTTTAAGGAAAGGTTATATAAAAAGTTGGAAATACAGTAATCGGGGTCACTCAGACTTTGTGCTCAAAAAGCACGTGGAGCCTTTGTATGAACACTTTGTGCTTTTTTTTTTTTTCCTGTCCCCACTTATTCCCTCAGCTGGGACCTTGGGTTCAGTGCACAACTTGTGCAGCCCTGTGTACATGATGGGCCTGGCCACCAGACAAATACTGCAGGTCTTTGCCCAGAGGCCTCAGCTCATTCTGGACTGTTTCTGCAAACATGCTGGTCCGTGGCAGCATGTCTTCAGCAGAGAAGTGCCTCATCTGACTCTTGTTTGTAGGGCCCCGAGGAAAGGTGTCTGCCCAATGGCAGAGGTGGCGAAACTTTTAGAGCTTTCACTTAATACAAACAGCTCACTGTGGCACGCGTGCCATAGGTTCGCAGTCATGCATTCTAGTGTGTGATAAAGAGGTTTGAGGGAAGGGGCAGAAGTGGGAGGGTGGCTTGGGAAGCTGTGAGTTTCATCACAACAGAGGGTGACCCAGTTGGAGGAGTCTTACCCTTGCTGTGACTTTTGCTCTGGCCTGACCCCTTTCTCATTTCCCCAGTTTCCAATGATGTCTTTTTGATCATGACAGGTGCTTCTCAGGACATCTGTCAAGGTGTTGCCTCCAGCTTTGGCTCATCAGACCCATGAGACATTTTTAGCTTTGCCTCCTGCCTGGGTCTCTACCAAAAACCCTATTTTCATCCTGCTCAAGTCTTGACTTAAACAAAATGTCTCTGGACCAACAATTTCTACTGTCCCATAGATCCTCAAACACCAGTTTCTTTTAAAATCTACATACTGATTGGTGGCCCCAGAAAATGTTCCCTTCCTGAACCCAGGACTGGGCCTGGCAAGTTCCCCTACTCTGCACCCTCCTCCTCACATGCAAGTAGAGCACTTTTTAAAATGTCTACAGTGTTTTACACATTTGCATCATGGCATGGTCTGCCACTTTGAGGGACTATTGTGCCTTAAATGGGGATCTATTTGCATGTAACTCCTTCCCTCCTTCAAAGTTAACTGGCAGAGTAAGAAAGTGAATAGAGAGAGTCTTCAGAGTTTGGGAGGAAAAGGTTACCATCAATATTGTCCTTGAAACATAGCATAAATAAGTCATTTTAATTATATACTCCTTTTACCAATAACAACCTTCTGCCGTCTTATCTTCAATAATACTCTCAGATGACAGCAGATAAGATTTCCCAGGCTTGTTGTTTTGGGAAGATTATGTTTCCTTTCATGTTTAATTGACAAGCTATACTTACCATGGCCATCGCTAGGGAGATAGGAGAGCCGCCCAGTTTTGAAGAGATGATGGAGGGTTTGGGAATAGAACAAAGGCTACTGGACCACAGATGTCCTTGTCCTTTTGGTTGAGGTCTTCTTGTTCTGTCTTCAGTTTCATTAGCTGACACATGGTTGCTTTCGTGACTCTGTATAAAATATCACCCCCCCCCCCGCAAAGCCCCCACAAAGTAAACAGAGCTGGTGAGGACCTTGTTTAAATCTTCCCTTTCTCTTTCTCTGAACTATCACTGTTGGTAAAATGTCTCACTTTTAAAGATGTCTGAAAATTGTGCTAAATAGCAATAAAAGAGGTGAAAATATTCCAGTATCTGTGTCAAAGGGTTTCTAGTAAGTTTTATGAGACTTGGAGAGGTGAAATGTAACTATGGAAACATAATTAATGCCATCAAGACCTTGACTTGAAATTATGTTTAGAGAAGAATGTAAATGTCACCATCGCTTGTTTTGAGGAGACATTTTATAAATGTTGAATGATTCCTTCCAGTCTATCAGAGGTATTTTTTCATTATATTATAAACCAGTTGATAAACTAATCCACTTATCACTTTTTCATTCTTTCATATTCCTGTACACTCATAATTGCACGTAATAATTTTCTTCTCTAAATAATCTACTCCCACCTTTAAAAATTCTACTTTTGCTCTTCTTAACTGATTCTCTCATGGCATTTCCGTATAAGTTAGCATCAACCCTTCATATTTACTTAACTTCGGTTCCTATGTCAGGAAACAAACTTCCCTCCTGGTAACTGGGATGTGAAGGACACTGCCTTCTTAGTTTTTCTGTATTTCTAGAGGCAAAGATGCTGTCTTATCTCAGAAACACAGCATCCCAAGTTACAGACAACTGATGGGATAAGATACATTTTATAAGTCAAATGGAAAATCTTTACATTTGTGCCAATGGGCTTCCCTTACCCTGTGTAAAGCATAACCTGATATTTATTTACTTTTTCCTTGCAGATTGTTTTATCTTTTGCATGTTTTATCCTTCCAATGGTAGCTATCTCCATTTAATATTTCCAGGGCTAAAATAGAAGCATTATCTCTCTGATTTGTAATTTACAATATGATTAAGAGGGTTTTAGCACAAATAAGACTTTTGATCCCAGGTTTCTTGAAGTAAGTTGCTTTAGCACTATAATCAAAATATTAATAATTCAATTCTTGTTCATATAGACTAGTGCCCAAAATCATCTTAATATTTTGTTACATCAGAGGCTGAAATACAAAGTCCCATTACTTCCTAGCCTGATAGGTTACATGAGCTACAAACATTTTTCATTTTATATTGTGCAAGCGATTTTCAAATACCTTTTAAAAACTGAAATTCAGTCATCTTTCCCTTATTTGAAAATGGTAAAGGAAAACAATTTTTCAGAAGCCAAAGAGAGATAACTATTTTCGAAACTACTTTTCTTCAGGGATATTGCAGGGCTCAGTTGTCAGAATCTAGTGTTATTTCACAAGCGGAGGAACTTTAGATTCTAATACCACCTTTTTTCTAAAATAATAACCATATGGTCCTCTTAATGATGAAAAGTAGTGCTTAAAAGTAGGAAGACAAATTTAGGAAAAAAGAAAACATCAAAAAATCTTATACTGGCTTTTTAGTTTCGTGTTTTCATGCATTAAATGCCAGTGCCTGAGTGACATTATGTGCATTGCACAAATGCAAATGATGCTGTTAATGTGATTGAAGAACCAACTAGAAGAAAACACACTGGCTTGGAGAAAGTAATTACCTCAGGAGTTGTATTATTGGTTCCCAACCTATAAGCGAGAAAGAAAACAAGTGAATTCCTTTATTCAAGTATCACATCCACGCACCTCCCTAAACCCCAATCTTGCTAGAAAAGTCTTTGTCCAAAAATAGTTACAAGGAAAACATTTTTGAATGTAAACATTTAATGGAAACTTCTCATGTAACAAGCATAGAAGTTGATTTCTTAAACGCCTAAAATTGCTCTGCTTTTGAAGAAATGCAAAAATGAAAGCATCTTACCCATGATAACTAAAGATTCTCCTCCATTTGTCAAGAAATAAAATTTTCCTAGTTATGTCTTCTAAATCCAACTCTTGAAGGCTTTGTTCCTGGCTGGAGATCTCCATATCCTTTTGGGTAGTGCGAGGAATTGGAAGAAGGAAATCGTGACGATGGGAGAGGAAGGGCTGGCTGTGGGGAGGCAAGATGACTGGAACAGAGCCTGGATGAAGGCCTGGCCCCCGCTTCTGACCAGCACGGTGATCCTGTCACACAATTGCTGCTCTGGAGCGGCTCAGTCTGAGCCCCTGATATCAGATTATGATTAAACTTTTATCGGAGGTGGATCCCTTTGTGTATTTGTGTTCACTGTATAGGTGACATGAATCTTTAATCCAATACACACATTTATAAACAAAGGAATTTCAATTACTTCTCCGCATCAAAGCAACTGGGATGATTTCCCAAGGAGAGATGCCATGCGGATGGAATGCGATAGCTCTTTATTCTGGGACGTCTTCTTGGGAGTGTTTGTGGAACAGAAAGATGTTACCAAAGGGAGTGAAAACATTCTGCTCACACCAAAAAGCTTCAACTGCTAGCAGAAAACACACAAGGAGGGCACTGGCCAGCAGATATTTGATGTACGGTGTAATCCACAGAGATCTTGTATAGTTGAACAAGGCTGGTCTGATGGATTCTAGGAAGCAATCTAAAATTTACCTCTGTCACTGTTGGCTAAATGAAGTATGCCTGCAATAACTGGCGTTCTGAGGAATGATGGTTGTGGTGGTCGATTTCACATGTTAGTGTGGCCAGGCTATGGTAACTATGATTTCCATCTAGGGACCAATCTAGATATTGCCGTGAAGGTGGTTATCGTTTTTAATGTGATAAGATTTAAGTCACAAATCTTTGAGTAAAGCAGGTGATAATGTGGGTGAGCCTCTTCTAGTCAGTTGAAGGTCTTAAGAGTGAGAGATGCTGACAGAAGGAATTCTTGGCTCTAGTCTGTCTTTGAACTCAAGTCTTCAATATCAGTTCTCCGCTGGGGCTCTCACTTGCTGGTCTGCCTTACATTTTCAAAGCTCAAACTTTTAAATAGTTTGAACTTGTGTGTGTGTGTGCACACGCGCGTGCACACGCGTGTTATTTGTTCTGTTTCTCTTGAGGATCCTGACTTAGAGGATGCTTTCAGAAACAAATACTGGTTACCAGCAAAAGTTTCCTTGCCTCTTCTGGCTTTGTTCAACAGCAGAATTAACCCTCTCCCCTGGGATGTCATTTTCTCTATAAACATTTTTTGAGCGTGAGTTGTATAAAGTTGTGGGACGCTAAGAGGTCAGGGCAAAAAGACTACTTGGATTTGTTGTGATCTGAGGAGTCGTGACTGGTTGTTTATAAAATTGCAAAAACCTTAAAACAGCAAGGCACTAAATTAACCCAAGGTAGATTTAGGTGTCAACAATCTGATTTGCGAGTGCTCTACTACTGTTTTCTTAAACTAGTTTTTGGTGGTGATTTAACTATTTCATATTCATAGATTCCATAGCTGTCTACCAGCCTTAGTAATTTTGTAGTAAACATAAAAGACACGAATAAATTCTTGCTTATTTCTCTTTTTCTCACCATAAATCCTCCTTATTTTAAAAATAAAAAGTATTATTATTTTCTTCTTTATAATTTTACAGTTTTAATGATATCAGTATTTAATATTTATTAGGCACCCCAGTGTAGAAAAAGAAATAAAAAATTACATGATCGTTGCTCACAAATAACATAACGATGAGAAATGTTCAAGAATTTCCTATTTAGAAAGTCATATTAGAAAATAAATTCTAGATGTGCCAGTTAAATTATTTAACAACTCAAAACTAGGAAAAGAGAGCAGCTAAGGAAACTATTTTTCTTAAGAATCGTTATTAAATCTGTGTACTTTTGGCCATGTTTGTGCCCTAATTTACATAGAGTTCTGTAAAGGTAGAAGCATAAATCTCAGTGATTAGTCAAGTTACCAATATGCCATTCTGTTGGGTTCAATAAACATATCTGGAGTATTTGTTCATGCCAGGCACTTGAAAATGCCACGGTAAATAGAATGGGGTTCTTGATCTCTTTAGAGGAAGAAACACACAGAGAAATGCCATGAAAACTGGGGCTAAAGGAGCACGGAGGACAGGCAAGAGAGAAGCGTGGCTCTAGATCAGTTTCACTTTTTGGTGGGGGTAGTAATGAAGATTGAACACAGAGCCTTCACTCTGAGTTATATCCTCAGCCATTTTCTAATTTTTTGAGGCAAGGTCTCACTAATATGCTAAATGCCCCAGGCTAAGCTTGAAATCTGTGATCCTCTTGCTTCAGCCTCCCCAAATTCTAGCATTATGGGCCAGCTATACCATGCCTACAAATGACTTTAGGGTCTAGGTTATGTTATTTGATCTCTGTGCCTCACTTTATTCATCTGTAAAATGGAAAAAATCTGAGATCTTTCTATACTGCAACTTGGTATAGCATGTTGCTTACACATTATTTATCTCCCATTGTTTATTTAGATTTAATCCTCAGAGGTGGACTAGCTAAATCAAAAGATAATAGTCATTTAAAAAACTATGATATGGTGGGAGGGGTAGCTCAGAGGTAGAGCACTTCCCTAGCAGATGCAAAGCTCTGGGTTCTAGCATTAGCATTACAAAATAAATAAATAAATAAAGTAAAATAATAATAAAACAAGGACTCCAATTCTTATTGCTAAGTTTCACCATTGCTTGTGATCATCCCTTCCTCAGTCTTTCTTTATCCCCAGGTTGGAACACAATTGTGGTTTTCTGTTTTCCCAACATATCTTTCTCTTTTCAATTAGATGCTGATCAAGACTCTATAACTGGTTTCTAGAACTCACCAAAAGTGAAGAATGCGATTCCTCCACGGCAGAGGAAGCCACCATTTTGCAGTACATTTCACCAAAAAGCTGAGAGCAGGAAAGCTGGGTATGAATGAAGCAGAGTGGGAAGAAGACCTGGGCCAGGTCTGGAAGGCCAGGACAGTGGCCAGCAGAGAAATCTGTGGTCTGGGCCCTCCCTCTTCTGTCTCTGTGCTCTTGCTTCCACGTTTCGTACCTACAGCCTGAGACGCCAAGCAAAGCTCCAGCCCCAGGACTTCCCTTGACTCGGCGAAGAACTGGGACTGAGCACTGGATTTCAAGCAGCCATAGACCTGGGACTGCAGAGATTAGAGCACGTACCCGAGGCTTGGCAGAAGGAGGGGCGTTTCTGCGACCATAAAGTGGGGCAGCGGGGGCAAGGGAGGGTCTGAATTCATTTGTCTGGAAATGCAATGTGTTGTGTAAATGCAGAAATCTGCACCCACGGCTATTTGATTCTTTTGTTGATAATTTAAAAACAAAAATAATATTAACGATTGCATGAGGAAAAGCTAATGTGCACTCCAAATCTGAAAATTTGGTATGTGACAATTTAAATAGACTGTATAATCAAAGTCATAAACATCTGTGGTCACCACAATCGCTTAAATCAAGTCAGCCTTACAGTAACAACCGTGGGCTTGGAGATATTTTACCTACCTTGTAAAATTACCTCCAGTCTTTCTTCTTGCTGTTTTATGTGATGTTTCATAAACAGAAAGCTGGGAGTAGAACTTTAGAGAGGTTTTTTTTTTTCTTCACAAAAACAGAATCTCGTTAGTATTTAATTAACCTTACCCCTGGAAAGCTCTTCCTTAGGATTAAGTTAAATCCTGTACGCTTTAATTATCATTTATTTTCTTTAGTTCTACTTTTCGTGGAATGGAAATTTCCTAATTATATTCCTTCCTCTGAGAATTCTGCCAATCTATTAGAAAACAGAAAATGGCTGATACGTTCTCCCTTTGTTCTTGGATGGTGTGATGGGGAGAAAGTAAGGATCGGGCCTAGGGTCAAATCTCGGCCACTCCCATGTAACTGCCTTCTCTTGGAGAAGTTATTTAACCTCTCTGAACTGATTAATTTTTCTGTGATGGAAGAATGTGTTTCTTCAGGATCAGCAGGAAGCGGGGGTTCTCTGCCTCTTGCAGTCCCTGGTAATAGGGAAGCCTTTGTGCACATGAAGAACTCATCTGATTGGACAGAATCTCGCTTTTGGTGAGCTCAGATTTGAACTGATTAGGGACCTTAATTCTACTGGCACAAACCCTTTTCCTTTTTCATATGGGTAACACATGATACGTGACATCACATCACCTTTTCCATATTCTTTTGTAAGAAGCAAGACATGTCATGTTCACACTCAAGGAGAGACTATCCACAGAACTGTAGCCGGCTGTGTGCAGGGGGTGTCCGCCATGTCTATTTGTTGGCAGTGATCTTGGGCCAATTATTTCACCTCTGTGCCTCTGTCTATCCTCTTGTAAAATGGGGGATGATAATAATCATTGAATGGTTATGAGACTTTATTTGGACATATTTAAGAAGTATTTACAACAGTGTCACATAGCAAGTATCCAATGACTTTTAGTCATTTCACTTAAAAACAGGGCAATTCCTACCCAGATGACCTCTTCAAGCTATTGTGAAAATCAGCTGTTGGAAGCTCTCTGCTTACTGAGGGACCAAGCAAACAGTGTGAATTATTGATGTAGGGCTTGTCTTCCTGGTTCAACCAGTGATCTTAACTGTATGTAGCAGGAATTCAGTTTGAACTGATTTATGAGGAAGAATTCAGTGAAGAGAATTCAGTGTATCACTTAATTTCAAGGGAGAATTCTGTTTAGGTAAAATTGAGTATATACGCTCAGATAACACTGAGAATTGGTCTCTCCTACTTCATGGACTCATTTTCCTTTGGGTGGACTTTATTTTTAGGAGGGATTTCCTACAGTTAGCAAGATGGCAGCTCTGTGCTCATTTTTGCTAGTTAAGTCACTTCAGCAAGAGTACCTCTGTTCCTACTGGTTCCAGGAAAATTCCTGAGTTGATTCTCATTGGGTCATTGCCAGGGTCTGCAGCCAGGGAGAGGGGAAGCTGCGATTGGCAAGGCTGGAAGATGACAGCAGGCTTGATGTAGAATGAGAGTAAGGAGGGCTGGCTCACCAATGGAAAAAGGAAATGCTGGTACCAGAATGTGGGAAGGTGTTTGCACATAAAACAATATGCTTTTATAAAGTCTGGAAACCAAGTCTACCCTCCAATAAAGAATAACACAAATGCTATATCTAAAAATACCTGTGGTCTTATGTTGAATTAAAAACTATCACTGCTTCAGGCCCCAGAAGCCATCTAGTCAATCTCCCTGTGCCATGTTCCTGACAGCTGGCCAGCCAGGCACCTGTTTCTCTGTGAGATCTAGTCATGCATTTGTGAGTCAGGGCATACTAGCCCAGTGTTCCTCCAACCCTTGCTGCCTTGACACCTGTCACCTGCCTTTCAGGCCTGCAGTGTATGTGGGGCAGGATAGGGGAAGAACTCCTAACAGAGAACTGAAACCAGTGGCAGAGCTAGACTTTGTGCCACTCTGGGAAGTCCTTTGATGCAAGGGCCGAGGCGCGTATGGAAACCTCTCAGCACAGCTGGTGTGTGAGCAGTCAGGTGGCTCGAGATGCTTCCATGCTCAGGTACGCATAGGAAACCTTAACTCGACATCAAATATAGTTCCAAAGAACCATAAGTTATTATTCCATAATTTTCCTTTTGGTCAGTAATGCTGGCCAAAATATGTGCTGCCTGGGGTAAACCATCCCTACCCCTAGCTACACCACAAGAGCAGCATTCAGTTTGCTCCTAAATTAATAATGGGTTATACTTTCATCAATATGTAGTTGCTCATTTAAAATTGTAAAGCACACCCCAAACCATATTAATTCCTGTTGCTTCGGATCACACAGCATTCTTAAGTGTGGTACTCATTTCTTTTGTACAAAGAAAAAACAGTCACGTGTATTGAGCCACTAACCTAAGAACCACATTCTACAAATGACAGGTCTGAAATTCACCTCCAGTGACCTGTACCCTACCCTCGGTCTCTTCGTTCCTTACCATTTTAACAAATGCTGTTTTCTCCTATTTTCCTGTATTATATAATGACACAGAGTTGTCTCTTCCCATTTGTTAAAACACCCACAACGACACCCACAACGACTCATCCTGTTGGTGTTTCTTACCTCTCCACTTGCTGATTTCAGATGTATCTTAGGGGCTGATCAGGCATCAGAAAGGTCCTGAGGCACTAAGTGACAAAATCTGGTTTGTTCACTGTGTTGTGTTATAGTACGTAAGTCACTTCCCCCTCTGGGTCCAAAGAGGTAGATATAATGCAGGCTTGGACAATGCTACCTAATCTTTGGGTAATCTTTCATGGTTTCCAGGTTCTAATTATTACCTGATTTGCAAATTCTGCCTACCTCCCCCTGAAATCTTTGGCCTAGGGCCTATGAGATCTCTTCCGTTTATAGACTACTTGTGGTTTTATACGGTATCTCACTGTCTCCTGGTACTCTGAATTATTCAGCTTCCTATGGAACCCAGAAAGCCCCTCCAGAAGCAGTGGAATTCATTCTCAGGAGCCTGACTCCAGGAGGCCGAAGCAAAGTAATGCTATCAGAGGGGGAAAGGGCAGGTGACCAGCAGCCACTACTGTAATGGACACAGTGCCTTCTTCCCCGCGGAGCCTACATGGACTCCCCCGTCATTCTGGTGCCCCTCACCCCATCCACCGCATCTGCTGGGGGTCAGTGATCGCTCTATGCAATCCCTGTTATTAGTAACAGGAGGAATAGTGTATGCAGCTTCTTTGCTTTCTCCTAAGTCCTGGCAGCTTGGCTGTGAGATCTGTGTCTATCCTACGATGGTCGATCAGGAGTTTCCTGGCTCTGGTAACTAAATATAATCAAATCGCTTACCCTCTCTATTGGGAAATAAGTTATAAATAACAAGTCAGAGCAATCTTTCATCAGCGTGGCTGTGGTTACTAGGAAACAGGCGCTACTCTCAGGCTCCCTGTTTCTATGTGTCCGTACGGTGTAGTATAAAGTGGTTCCTAGTCTTTGGCCTTTCAAATGGTCCTTGGATGTTCTATTCTTGCGCATTAAAGAATCTGTGTATTAAAAAGATCTGTGTATTTTAATGGACGAAGACTTGAGATCTAACTTGGCCTTTGTCATTGATTTGCTGTGTGCTTTTGGCTGAGCTAATTCACCTCTCTGGTCTTCAGTTTAATTCTCAGTAAAATTGATGAGGAATTTGGGCTAGATCATTGATTGACAAACTGAAACCCACAGCCCAACTTGGTTTGCCATCTGTTTATATCTGACCTGCAACTGAAGAATGATTTCTGTATTTTTTAATAGTTGAAAGCAAAATAATATTTTATGACATAAATATGCTATAGCATATACATGTTAACATATAATTAGGATAATATATAAGGTATAGCATGTGATTTTTATAATAAATTCAAGTTTGTGTGAATATGATTTTAAAAAATTAATCCATGTTTGTAGTACGTAATATTTACATTCTTCATGTCGCATTGGTTACATGTACGTAATATATCTTAATTCCATTTTTAAGTCCCCTTTCCCTCCTGTCACCCCATCTCTTAATCCCCTTCCCACTTGAGAAAGATGTTTGCTTCCTATTGTCTATCTTTTACTTTGCTCTTTATAGTTTGGATTTCTCATATAAGAGAAACCATGCAATATTTAAACTTATGTGTCTAATTTATTTCACAAACATTATGCACAAGGTGCCTCCATTTTTCTACAAATCATCCAGTTTATCTTCCTGTATGGCAGAGTAGTACATTTTGTGTAAATACATTTTCTCCATTCATCTGTTGATGGACATATAGGCCCCTTCCAAGGCGTAGCTACTATGAATTA